GGTTCTTGGGATACAGCCTGGTGACCGACGGACAGGCACATAGATACAGCGGTGTCGTAGTTATAGGGTCCCGTTTTCCCCTTTGGGTATGGAACCCTAAAAAGCCCGAACGTAGTGACCAACGACCCAGTCGCCATTTCCACCAGGCCGCCTATGTCGAAGAATCCTATTATTATCCATGGATCCCTCAAATATTAAGTTACCTATCTTAAAAAGGACGCGCGTGGAGCTGCTGCTAAAAGTGGTTTTGATATGTCCGTAAAGTAATGTTTGTAGAAACTCGAAATGAAAAGAGAACATTTTGTTACTTGGATTGTAGGTGCCATCATAAAATAAGATGCATACTGCAAGTTTTGACGCAATAAAAGTCAAAGTAATACACAAGACAGAAGCTCACGTAAACACACACACGCACACGCACGCACGCACTTTAACAAATTTACTTTTTTTATATATATTACTCTTTTTCTTATAACTTTTATAAAACACATTGTTTGCTCTTCAACTGCTCAATTATTTCATATATTTAAACTATAAAATTTAAATCCTTTCTTGGCGGTAAAATATGTGATATACATGTACAGAAACTAAGGGCAGTGGATTTTATTGCTCAATAAAATAAGATAAAAATATAAGCGGATATCATTACAAATATTTCTTCACAGTGGCTTCTTGATATATAATTTTTTATTTTATTGAAATCGTTACAGCATTTAACATATGCAAATTGCTCAATTTAAATGTTAACAACATTGAACTAAATATCTCGATTATTTTATTTTGACAATTATCACATCCTGCTATAAATTACAATTTTCTGTAAAGTCGACCGATTTGAATTAAAACGCATTAAAATTAAAAAGTTATCTTTCGCTTTCTTTAGTTAAGATTGTTGAAGAAAGCGATTTCGTATCTTATCGATACCGACACAGGACTCTCTTATCAATATCGATTAAGCAACATGTAAATTGTGTATCATTTGCCAAAAATGGAAATTGCACGTAATTATTTATGATTAGAAGTATTGCATAATACTAATAGTTTATGTTGCCGCCATAACAGAAAATACTAAAAAACCGAAAAATAAATTTAAGTGAGCCTCCTATACAACAGACAATTTTTTTGCCGTTCTTATAGATAATGGTACAGAACACTTCGAGCGCAAGTCCGACTCGCATGTGCCCGGTTTTCACTACCGTCTCCAAAGCTTGTGTACAAACTGTGTTTAATGATGCCTAATCCGTTAATTAACGTTAAACGTTTTTAACGTTAAACGTTATCAAAACAATACAACAAAGCCACGATTTTAAAAATGTAATCAAACATAAAAAAATAACACCTTTTTTTAAATGCATTAACAGAAGCCAACCTAGAGATAAAACACTGATTAACTCTTTAACACGCGTGTTTTTTACTCAATTTTGTATGTTTATACACTGATGCTTATTTCTTTTTTTTTATATTATAACTTTACCATTTACAACCGGTTCGTATTAATACGATTAATAATCGAGTTATGCATATTCATTCAGGAATTATTATACAAATATAAACATATACGCAAGATCCACTAAATTCTTTTAGACGTCATTATTTCGTAAATTTACTTGAATTCTACTCGTAGTTAAATAATAATAATATAATAATGATACTTAACGAATCTTATTGCGTTCATTTATTGTTTTTGAACACGGTTAGAACTGTCATAGACGTATAATTATACTCGGCATTCAAACCCGAGTTAACTATGTCCTACGAGTTTAGTATTCAGGACGTAGTGAGATCCAAAAGAGTATTAAACACTGCAATGTCTTTCAAATAATGTCATTTTTCATTATCTAATACACGTTGAAGTCTTACATATTCTACCTTTTTGTGTTTACGCAATTATACATTGTAAATGAAACTAGTTTGACGAATTTGTCGCGTTTATTTAAAGAAAATAAACGGGAAATATAGGTAAAAATAGTTTCATTTATATTATTTTTAGTTTCGTTCAAGAACTAGAATTGTTACCATTGCATTGGAAGGTCTTGTCACAACACTTAGAGTGCAAATGTAAAATTCTTTCACGAAATCTATCGAAGAATTGCGGTTCGAAGCCGCAATCCTAGCACTAAGCATAAATTGGTTTAATACATATGCGGTATCTATAAAATTTTCTTTCTAATCCGAACTTAACCAACGTAAGTATAAATAAATTGAAATAATGTTCGTTCACACGTCAGAATAATAATTATTCTCATTGATTCACGATACCCGGTTATTTCATTCAACTCCATTCAAACGTCTTCCAAAGCAACAATTGGAGAAGCCATTCGTTATTTAAATTCAGAATAAGTTTTCCATTTCTTCTTCCACGCCAGCTTCCCACGTACGATTCCTTGTGGCGACATTGATAAATGTATTTCATAAACGCTTTTCTTCACTTACTCTTTAATAAAATACCAATAATGATTTAACGATAAAACCGTAAAACCATCATAACGTTTTAATATTAGTTTGATTCTACTATGAGAATTGATTTATTGTGGCGGGAATTTTATATAATGTATGCTTCGAAAAATCTTATATATTTTTGTAGTTTAGCTGTTTCGACGACAAAAGTAAACAGAGCAAGCGTTCGCAAATTCAGCTTTATATTATTTTAGCTTATCGATATTGACCTTAATGGACATATCAAGTTAAACCTCTCTAGTTTAACAAAAAAAAAAACCTACGAAAACCTTTTGACCGAATCGCGGGCAACTTTCAAAGCTGTCAGAGCAAAGGGTGTAATTCCACTCGGCGGTGTTGTTTTATTTCATTATTTACATAAAAATGGGACCTTGCCGGCGGGACCTTGGTAGCCGGCCTTTCACTGTTAACGTATCATAATAACAATCGACGCAATAATTAATATCGCCCAAAGGCTGTCAAGCGACGACGTAGACCGGTTTGCGCGCTCCGTTTCAAATTAGGAACTGCGTTTTACGAATTTTCTTTTTTTTTCCATTGTCTCGCCGCTGTTTGTTTACAAGCCAGCATCGAATGTCGGCCGGTTTTGATTTAAAATGAACGCATCGAATACCGATATTGAGAATCTGTTTGCTAAGCGCTAGTTAGTGAACTCTGATATTACTAGGTCGATTGTGGCAGATTAAAAATTTACTAAGACTCTGCTGTCTGTCTTTTTGTCCGTCACCAGGCTTGTATCTCATGAACCGAGATAGTTAGACAGGTGAAATGTTCATTAATGATGTATTTCTGTTGCCGCTGTAACAATAAATACTAAAAAACAGAATAAAATAATATTTAAGTGGGGCTCCCATACTACAGACATGATTTTTTGCCGTTTTAATAGATAATGGTACGGAACCCTTCGTGCGAGACGCCGACTAGCACTTGGCCAGTTTTATTTATGTCTTGAGGTCTTGGATTTAATTTAAGAAAATGCTTATGCAAGTTTTGACCAAGCTTAAAATTTAAAAGTGAAAACGTTTATTATTATTATTTTATAAACGTATATTATTTGTTTCGTTGATACTTCATTCAGCCGATTTACTGACTGAAATGGGACTAGCTTACATCTAATGCGGCCAGCTACTACAAATATGACTGAAACAGCTTCTGCATAGAGTGGAGAATGCACCAGCCCTAAAGTGTACAATAATAATAAAATTTAAATAGAATAAAATATTATTTCCGGATTCATTCACATCAGAATGAATTCAAAAATCACGAAATAATATTTTTCCACGACTGTTGATACAATTTTTATTTTTGGCCCATTCATAGTATAAAACAAACGTCCCGCTGTCTGTCTGTCCCTATATATGCTTAGATCTTTAAAAGTACGAAACGGATCTTGATGCGGTATTTTTACTAGATAGAGTGATTCAAGAGGAAGGTTTATATGTATAACACATTGCATCCGTGCGAAGCCGGGGCGGGTCGATAGTATCTTTATAAACATCATAATAACATTTTACCCGTTACATCACTTCTCGGCGTCTATTATCTATTTTCGATAATGCAAACAAATGCGCCACGCTTAACCGATCGCGGATTATTGCAATTTATGTTATCGCTAGATAAACTGGCAATCCTCGAGATAGCGCAGATAACGGCTTTGTGGTCGCTTCGTGCGCGGCGGTGTTTCGAACGAAATTTATCTATGTTAATTTATAATATTTCTGTTTGATAAGGACTCTCGGAGCTCGCGACGTGCGCGGCCTTGAAGCCCAGCTGTACTTTCCCTAAACATTTTTAAATGTATTTGTTTACATGTAAATCACGACAATCAAGCAATTTCGGAATTTTAACTGTAGTAGGGCCAACAGTCTTCTCTTTTGCATGAATGGACAGATCCGTCTGTGGCGTAAGTACCACGACCTCATAGACCGGCGTGAAGTGAAACTGTTATACTTCTGCGTTTCGTCTGGAGAGTGAGGTAGTCGGAGCCCACTTGGACATTTGCAACGCCCCCATGGACATGTGCAACGCAACCCTACGGGTGTTGCAAATGACCATGGGGGAGGTTATCACTTTAGGTAAAGTGAACAGCTCTTTTACCATCTTCTCACAAAAAAATTATAATTAAAAAACAACCTAGATAGACGGAAAAGTTGATTGAACGAACTTATAGTTAGTTACAAGCGTCAGGCTGTTGTTCAAAACGATCCCAATTTCTTATTTTAACGTAGAATCGTTAACATTGCTGCAAAATATTATAAAATTCTACAGTTAAAATCGAACTAAACTTTACAGGTATTTTTTATATATCACAACAATTTCGTGTGTCTTTTTGTTTTAATATTTGAGAAACGGGTGGGACATCTGATTTTAAAATTACCACCGCTTGTGAACGCCTGTGGGGGGGCAGATGCGTTACCATACTCACCAGAGCAAACGCAACAATACTACCGGTAGTCTTCACGGCTGTCATTCTTACCGGTAAGAGCCTATCCATGCCGCAGTAGTAGCTAAAAGCGAACGATACAAGAATGTTAGTACAGTCACAAGCCGCTGTAAGTCCAATGCAAAAAATTCCAAAATTCACGGTACAGTCGGCGCAAAAATTCCGATGACCTTGGCGCGCCTTTAGCAGCTTTGTTTACCAACGGCGCTATCTTCGCGCTGCGATTTATCAGCGCCCATCGCCACATGCAGACGCCGATATGAGTTTGGAAGTCATGGCCGAACGTCGGCCGCCCGCTTAGTGACGAGCGGTAGCGGGAGCGGGAGCGGGAATGCCCGCTCGAGATATCTTCATTCATTCATTGTATACGAGTACATCTCAGCTTATATCATAACATGAGAGGTATTTCGACTAATGTTGAAAATAAAATATTGTATGAATATACATGTGGAATTAACCAGGTAATAGTAGGATCAAACTAAATTTTAAATTGCAAACAACATCGTGGCTTCGATTCTCACACGGGACAAGTATTTGCGTGACCCAGAAATAATTTTTCCTGGGTCATCAATCTGGGTGTTTGTTTCGCAAGGAGGGTTGATATCAGAACGATAAACATATTACAACATACAATTGAGGAACGCAATAACAGAAATTCCTTGAAAAGATATCGACTCACTCTTCGATTAAATTTCAGAAGCGTGTTCCTACTATAATATGATTTCCGCTTCCAAACACACCGTGGCTCAGCCTCGCGTGGGTGTAGATTTCGTAACAAAAATACTTGTGTCCGCTATGAGACGGCGTCAATGTGTTATGCAATTCGCCCTGATATATTTCTATTGATAGATTCGGTAGCGCCGTTGCTGAGCCATTGGAGTCGGGGGTCGTGGGTTCGAATCGAAAAGTGTACCACATAAGAAACCATAGATAATTCGGATCTGGGTGTTTGTTCCGATAGGGTTAACAGGTTAACATCGGGTCGTAAAAATGTAGCCAATACAACTAGAAGTTTTTTTTATGTGAGAAAGTGGCAAACGAGCTGTTAGTTAACCTGATGTCATGCGCAGCAGCCTCGGCTGTTGTACGAATGGGCAGCCTCGTCCGAGTAACAACCACGACCTCACGGAAGACCGGTGTAAAGCGGAACTATAATACTTTCGTGTTTCGTCTGGTGAGTGAGGTGGCCGGAGCCCAATTTTCTAAAGCTTGTCAACGCATCTGCAATCCTCGGGTTTAGCAGATGTCTATGGGCGGCGGTATTCACTTAACATCAGGTGAACCGTCTGCTCGCTTGGCAACTTTTCACATAAAAAACTCCGTAATTTATTTATGAATTTTGATATTGTTTGGTTATTTTCGGTGCAGTGGCTTAATTATTGGCTTCAGCGCTGGGTCCTAACTACTCGACTAACACTCGTTCGTATGCGACTCAGAGACAATTTGTTCCGGATCTGGGTGTCAACTTAGGCACAATAAGTTGTTGACGTCGAGCACGCGCGGCCGATCTAAAAAAACATACCACTAAAATCGATCTTCGTGAGATGGGCAGAACGGATTATGTTGATTATGAAATTCTGTTATTTTCCCAATACTACATTTCTTTACCTCACCACACTAGGGCTGCCAGACAGCTTTTACCACACGTCATTTTGGAGTGCACCCATGGGTTTGCAGCTGTGGCCGCATCACGTGACACAGCAAGAGCCGCTGATGGTTGTACCTGAAAAAAAAATCTTTTACACCGAATTCAGCGCGTTACTGCTTTTAAGGGAAAATATCTCTTACTGGGAGCCGGATATTGAGTTTTTTTTCTTTCGACCCTAGAATAGCTTGAGACATGAAAAGATGGGGTCCTAACGACTACGTGGTCTCAAGTTCGTATAACCTTCGCTTTTTTTTGAACGCGTGCACTACACGACCTCGCTCTCACGAACCTCCAGCGATCACGGTCGACCGACGAATTGTTTTTAAACGAGAGATCACCAAGATAAATGGCATACAGCTAGCGTACGCAAGATGCCGTTCTGTTGTTATTGTAACTTGTATCGCCTGCGGTCTACATTTGACTCATTTCGATTGTAAAGAAATATCGGACGAGTTGGAGTAAGGTTCCGTATAAACTTAATTATCTTGTGGGATGACTACAAATTAATATATTCGTATTTCTTCCGTGATAGCTCAGGCACTTGCCTTTAATTCAATATACTCGAGCAACCCGAGTGCGATCCCCGGTGCCTTCCTTTTTTCCTTCACTTGTACGTGAAAGCTTACTGCGAAATAAGTTTTTCTAAGAGGTTTTAATCAGTCTGTTTGCAAGAACAAAAATTTACACATAATAATATACATACATACACAATATAATATATTTACCACCCGATCGGTCTATAAAGTCATGCTATAAAGTTTTTATTTCTTCCCATTGTAGTATAGAACCCCAAAACATCATGGTTATTAATGCGTTTTCGACTTCTTGTGATAAATTTTATATTTTATATTATAATCGGTGCCACAGTAAAAGCTGCTAGTTGCACCAGAATTTGAAGAAATGTATTATAGTTAAAAGTGTAAATCCATGAACTTTGTAAAATCGCTTTCGTTATATTGGAATTTTTCGCTTAACGTCTTGGTATAGCATTATTATTTCCGTATTAAATAAACTAATACTAAATAGGATTAGGTTTTCTTTTAAAAACCCTTCAGCTTTGTAACGGCAAATTTTCAAAATGCCTTTACTATTTTAATACGAACTTTGGAACTATCGATAACTTTTTTAGAAGAAAAGTTGTGAAGCCAGCAGGTGGTTCACGTGATCTTAAGGAAAATACCGAATACCGCCGCCCATTAACAGCTTAAAAAAAGCGTTGACAACTTTTAGAAAAACGGGATCCGGTTACCTCTCTCACCGGACCGAACGTCAAAGTATAATTCTATATAATTCTATACTTCACGCCGGTCGTCTGAGATGCTGTGGTACGTTCCCTGACGAGCCTGCCCATTGATGCAACAGCAGAGGCTGTCGCGTGGCCGTACCACTGTAAAGACCCTCCTAGAGTCCGGTTGCTCTCGCACTATAGCCCGACGCAACCAGCGTTGAAATGCGATGGAGATAGTCATCCTGACGGCCAAAAAATATTGACGGAGATATTAATAATACATTTTTGTGTATGATTTGTAAGCTTCGTTTACTTAGATATATATATAGTTAAATATATACATAGATAAATAACACATCAACACTGATTTACCTGTCATCTCTTGTATCAAAGTCAAAGTCAAAGTCAAAATTTCTTTATTCAACATAGGCTTATTTTAAGCTCTTATTGAACGTCAAAAACTACCACCGGTTCACTAAACTAGACCTGCAAGAGAAGAACCGGCAAGAAACTCTGCGGTCATATATTTATATTTTTCTATTTTTTATTTTTTTAAGTATACACACAAAATTATTTTAGTATAATTTAGCAGGAGCCAGGGGACTTGCAAGTGCAAAGCAAGAGTCATTTCCACTCATCCTTGTCCTCAATGTATTCCTCGACATTATAATAAGCCCTTTCCATTAAGGTGGCTTTTACAAATTGTTTGAAATTATTTAAACTTAATTGTTTGTGGATGTCACCTATTCTATTATATAAGTTAATACATCTACCAAGAAACGATTTCCTGGTTTTAGCTAGTCTAAACCTCGGTATTTCCAACGTGTCACCACGGCCCCGACGCGATGTGGTATGTTTTTTTGTAAAATGGTGTAAGTTATTTCGTACATACATGATGTTCTCAAGTATGTATAGCGACGGGAGCATTAAGATGTTAATCTTTTTAAAAATATGCCGAAGGGACTCACGTGGACCCAGGCCATAGACAGCCCGTATCGCTTGCTTTTGCAGTACAAATATCGTGTCTAAACCGGATGCGGACCCCAAAGTAAGACATATTACTGTGAAAGTAAGCATAATAAACTAATTTAGCTGTTGCCTCGTTTGTTAGTTGCCTGATCTTGCGTATGGCAAAGACGGCAGCGCTGAGCTTTTTAGCTAATTTATCTATATGCGCTCCCCATTGCAACTTGGAGTCAATGCATATTCCAAGGAATGCCGTTGAATCCTCAAGAGGTAGGATGTTGTCATCAATAAAGATTCCTGGTTTGTGAGACAGCTTTGATAATGAAAATCTGATACATTTAGTCTTAGTGGCGTTCAAAAGTAAATTATTGGTCGCAAACCAGCCCGACACGACACTTAGTATTTCATTTGGTTGCTCTAATGTAACATCTTTCCTATTAACCTTAAACAACAGTGAGGTGTCATCCGCAAACAAAACGATTTGAGACCTTTTTTCTACCACATATGGCAAATCATTTATGTAGACTAAAAACAGGAATGGGCCCAGGATCGATCCCTGAGCAACACCCATTTGTACTATTGATCCCGATGACAGTATACCATTTATTGTTCCCGATCGCTAAGATATGAGGAAACAAAATTAATGGCAGATTTTCGAATACCATAATATTCCAATTTCTTAATAAGAATCTTATGATCTACACAGTCAAATGCCTTGGAGAGGTCACAGAACACACCAATGGTGTCATGGAACGTCTCTCAAGACTGCAGGATATCCGAAATTAATTCTACTCCAGCATCAGTTGTAGATCTACCTTTCGTAAATCCGAACTGATGCTGGTTCAAGATTTCATATTTATTAAAGTGAAATAGCATCTGATCCAGCATGATTTTCTCAAATATTTTACTTAAGGCTGGTAAGATAGAAATGGGTCGGTAATAAGAGGAATTTTCTCTTGAGCCTGATTTATAAACTGGCACAATTTTGCTACATTTCATTAATTTTGGAAATTTGCAAGTATCTAAACATAAATTAAATATTTGGGCTAATAAACAAGCAATATCACAGATTATAAGATCTAATGCCCATATTGATACGCCCCATAGGTCTTCAGTTTTCTTTTTATTTAAATTTTTAAAAGTCTTAATAATATCATTCGGACCTATGTGGCAAAACTTAAAATCTGGAATGGAAATATTAACATATTTATCCAGATATGTTGCTGCCTCTGTGGGACAGTATTGCAAATGTCTAGTATGTATTGCCTTATATAGTGAAGTGACTTATAATAGGATACCACATCGTCTCTCAATCTTTACTCTTGAATCAATACTCAATCGTTGACTTAAGAAGGAATCAACTCCTAAACTCCACTGTGCTAGAACTCTAATAGAACTAATACTATTTAACGTTATGTATATTATACGATACACCAACATTTTGAATTTATATCCGACTTTTTAAATGCATTTTGAATATTGCCGTCAGGTAAACTGTCTTCTCGTTTACCTCCTT